TGCCTGCAGCACAGCAATCCCTGGGGCAAGCCTCGTGAGACTCTCACAGCAAGGACCTGCCCACACTTTCCACAGGAGGGGCATGGAAGCAGCTCCACCTTTTTGGGCATCTGGTCCAGGCTACACATCATCATGTACATTATTGACTGAGGGTGTAAATAAGCTTCTAACAGTTCACCAGTTGTGTATTAATTAGTTTCCTTTTCTTTAACCCTTTGTAAATAAAGTGTACATAGCTGAAAATTGTGGGGTGTCTAATTGAAGGTCCAGGGGTAGTAGATGCCTTGCTGTGAGGAGAACCTCCCTAACACCAGGAGGGCAGGTGGTTCCAGGTTGTGGGCACCTCCAAGGATTCAGAGTTGGGTTTTGCAGGTAGTCCTGTAGCCCCAGTGCGGGCGTGGTGAGCCCCGGAGAGGGGGGCAGCAGTGCGGTGAGCCCTGAAGAAGAGGGGCAGCTGAGAAGCCCCAGAGAAGGGGGTGTTGGGGAGAAGCCCCAGTGCGGGCGTGGGGAGCCCCGGGGAAGGGGGCAGCAGTGCGGTGAGCCCCGGAGAAGGGGGGCAGCATTACTGAGGAGGCCCGAGAGAAGGGCAGCATGGTAGAAGAGGCCCGAGAGAAGGGCGGCATTACAGAGAAGGCCCTGAGAGAGGGCGTGGAAGGAGGGAGACAGAGAGAGACTGAACAACGTCTATTCCATCTGCGAGGCTTGGGGCGTGGTATTGGGGTGGGAGGAGCCACGCATAGCCCCTGAGGCTTAGATATGGGGTCAGAACCTTATAGGAGAGAACCCAACATACCCAGTTGGTTCGGTAGTCTCCTGCTCACATGCTAATAACATCAAGACATGGCAGGAGAGATTAGAGTGGGACAGCAGAGGTCCAAGAGGGCTCCAAGGGTGCCCCGCGTAAGGCGCAGATGATCCGGAAGATGGCACTGGGGAGGGCGACCTGTCACAGGGACCAAGGGACCCAGCATGGGCTGGACAAAGCCCCTCTGCAGGCCGGTATTTTTACCACCCCTCTTCTATCACAGCTTCTCACAAGATCCTTAGCTGCCAACTTCTGTTGAAGTTTCTCCCTCCTGCTCCTGTAGGGCCTGATATGGCACTGGGCAATGTGGTTATGTGTAAATTTGATAAATATTTTATAGTGTAGTCACTAACAATTTAAAATATATATATATTTAAATGCTATTGCTTCTTTCTAGATGAATACCTATTAAAATTACATGAATGTTTCATTATTCTACATTTAGTTGTAGCAATAATATTGTTAACTAATACTCAGTGGCAGTATCATCATGGATACAAGATCACAGGGCACAAGGTCAGTGGGAGTGCAGTTGGAGGAACTGGTACATCCAGACCCAAAAGCAGCATGGTGATATGCATAAACTAATAAACTCTGCTGACAGGCTGGGGGTTAGGGATTCTTTTGAACCTTGCAAGGTGGGATATGGCTCTGTCTACTCATAAAGACTGCAAGGATATTAAGACAGCATTTGCAGACAATGAATGTAGGCATCAATTAATTTGCTGCCCCTTTTTCAAATTGTATTTTCAAAAAAAAGTCTTAGAAAATTATTACAAAAGTGCTGTATTTCCAAAAAAAAATTCTTGTGCCAGTAATTTGAGTTGGGTGGACTGTTTCCCCCTTACATATTCTTACAAATTGAACAGATTTTGTCCAAAGCCTGAAACATTTTCACTGGAAACTTGGTATTTTCATCTGAAAATGAAAAACGATGATATGGAAAAGCAGATGTCCCCATGCCCTCAGCCTCCCAGGCTGATCTATGTGGCCTATGATACATGAGAGTCTACTTTCTTGGTGTGCTGCTGTGGTACATCCTGAGAATTCCAGGCCAGCGGGCATCAAGGGAAACATAGATTAAAAACAGACAAGGTTGATATGAGACATATTGGCTCTCTCTGGGCCTGGTCCAGCCCCTTACACATTAGGCTTAAGTGGCAATTAAGTCGAATTAGCTTGGATTGTTCCAAGGCAAAGTGTTAATTCAAATCATTCACAGGCATGGGCAGATCTAGAATTTTGAAAAGGGAGTTGCAGCTGGTGAGGTGCATCACCACATATAGATGTAACCAACAATGGTCCCAGGGTGAACTCAGCCAGGCAGCAGCATGGAACAGCATGGCTCCTCGGAGATCCTGTGATAAGGGCAGATGAAGCCCGCTCTGGAGAGCTGGGAGAGAAGCCCAGAGGCTGAGGGAGAGCTTGGGCACCACATCCCATCCTCACAGTTGCCAGAGCCTGAGGACAGTGCGGGCTGTGCTGCAGCCTGGAGGGCTAGGAAGCCCAGCTGCAGCACCTCTCTTGCTCCTTTTCCCTTGGGAGACCTGCCCGAGCTGCTCGGAGGAGCAGCCGGCCCTTCTGGAGACCCCCAAGTGAGGAGGACTCTTCTCCAAGCCCCTGTGTGCTGTGAGGTGCACTAGGGGGGAGGGAGGACTGAAGAAAGATTGATCCAGCTCACTGTGAGCTCTTGGTGGGAGGCAGAGCTAGGGTGTTTGCTCTCATACAGGGCAAGGCCCCTGTGAGAGAGTTAAGACCTGAGCGAGGGGGCGAACTTTGTCTGCCTGGCAAGCGGGTGTGTGCAGGCGCTGGCAGGGGAGATTGCCAGAGCTCCAGCTCAGACCCTGCTCCTGGGGTGTCGGGACAAGGGTCTGGGCAGGGTAAGCTATCTTACAGGAATTTTGGCGAGGGAGCACCTGCCTGCAGCACAGCAATCCCTGGGGCAAGCCTCGTGAGACTCTCACAGCAAGGACCTGCCCACACTTTCCACAGGAGGGGCATGGAAGCAGCTCCACCTTTTTGGGCATCTGGTCCAGGCTACACATCATCATGTACATTATTGACTGAGGGTGTAAATAAGCTTCTAACAGTTCACCAGTTGTGTATTAATTAGTTTCCTTTTCTTTAACCCTTTGTAAATAAAGTGTACATAGCTGAAAATTGTGGGGTGTCTAATTGAAGGTCCAGGGGTAGTAGATGCCTTGCTGTGAGGAGAACCTCCCTAACACCAGGAGGGCAGGTGGTTCCAGGTTGTGGGCACCTCCAAGGATTCAGAGTTGGGTTTTGCAGGTAGTCCTGTAGCCAGGGTTATATAAAACAATGCATATTTTTTGCCATTTAAAAATAAATTAGAAGCTTTACTAATATGCTAGGAGCCTGATTCAGTTTAAGACTGAAGCAAAAACTAATACAACTTCATTGAAATGACTTAAAAATCCTCTGCTGGGTTGTGAAATAGGAGCTTCATGACCAGAAGCAGCTAGCAGACAGCAGCATTGCAGAACAAAGGATAGCTTGAGTAGTGGAACATCAAGATGAAGTAAAAAAGAAGAAAGGGTCCTTAACATCCATGGAGTGAAGAGTTTAGGAGGAATCAGGTAGTTTATAATTAGGGTGTCTTTATGTCCTGGTTTGGCCACGACAGTCCTAGATTTCGTAGGCCATCCTGGCATCCAGACTGATGTTCCTTCTAAGGATTACTGATCCGTGAGCGTGCCGCCTTGGTTTGGCGTGGGACACTTATCGAAGGGGGCTGGAGCTGGGGCCAAAGACTGGGGCTGGCACGGACTCTGCTGGCTCTGGGGAAGCGCTCTGCTCCCCCAACATCAGGGCCGGGGAGTGGAGCACTTCCCTGGAGCTGGTGGAGCCCACACCAGCCTGCACCGCCTCAGCCTCCATCCCTGCCTTGCCTCATCTTGGGGAGGAGAGAGGAGGAGCTGCTGCCTGCCCTGAGTGAGGCTTCACAGGCTCCAGGACACTGTGGGACACCCCCCCGAGGCCATGCCGGGGAGCGGAGCAGTGTCCCAGACACTCTTCCGGTCTTTAAGCCCCAACACCTCCGCAGGTAGTGAACCACGCCAGAAGAACAGTTATCCCCAGGAACACTTAAGGAAAACTGCCTTCATGGACCCAGATACATGGTGTTTCCCCTGCTAGGTAAGTATCTGGAGATTAATTTCTTTTTAATTTGTATCCAAGGCCAAATTAGCCAAAACTAATCCCAAATCCAAGAGTCCAGAACCGTAAGTGGCCCTACTAGGAGCAAACATCCTCCACCCACACCAGGGGCTTCAGATGTTTCCAAATCCTTTGGTGGGCATCCTCCATGTGGGCCCAAACCCCGGAGACTTTGGGTTTGGATACTGCTGTTTCGCCTGCCCTCAGCCACATGGCCGCAGGAGCAAGCCAGGCAGGAGCCTCCCATTTCCATAAAGTGGGCTTTAAGCCCCAACACCTGGGCGGGTACGAAACCGGGGCAGAAGAACAGGTGTCCCCAGGAACGCTTCAGGAAAACTGCCTTGGTGGACCCAGATACATGGTGTTTCCGAGTTGTGTTGCTGCCGCTGCCAGGCGGTTGGTTTTAAACGCGGGGGTCAGAGGGGCGTGCCCGGGTTCGTGCACCCCAGCTCACCCAGTACTTCGTGTGGGACGCGGGGCTCGGCTGCCCAGAGCGGCGGGCTCCGCTACGCGGCACCTCTGGGGCGGTCCTTCGTGGGGGAAGGGAAGCGGCCACACGAAGGGCGCTCTCGCGGCCGGAGGCAGCGGGCAGAGCTGGGGCGGGAGGTGTGGGCCGGGCCGGGCTGGGGCACAGCGCGCCATTTTGCGGGCGGGAGGGCGCCTGGCTGGGGCCCAGCTGGTTCCTCCTGCGCCGGCCGGGACGGTCCCTTTCCCGTCTCCCCCAGGCCTAGCAGTGCGCCGCGTCTGCCCCCTGCCCACCCCGGGCTGGCGGGCGTGTGGGGGCAGCTGCACAGCGGCGGGGGCCCGCCCCGGGCCGGCTTGTCCC